AAAAAAAAAAAAAGTATAAGAATGTTACAGTACAAATTGGAAAAGCCAATACTTATTAACTTATTATTTCTCTAGACTAGACTACCTTTGGTACTTAAACTTTTTAAAAAACAATTCCATCTCATCCAAACGTACTTCATGGATATGACATCCAGGAAGTAACTTGAAGTAACATTCGGCAAAATTATTAACCTTTTTTTATATGGGGGAAGTGTATTTGATAAGTATACAACGATGTTTCCCTTTTTCTAAAATGCAAAATATGATTAAGACATCTAATACTTACAAACTTTACTTATTTAGCTCTCCAATTAAAATTGGAATCATGGCAACTAGAATCTATTTTTGGGCTTGGGGAATATAGAAATTTAAATGATTTGGCAACTGACATAGGAATTTAATTACTTCATATTATTTTAAGTAGCTTTTCCTTTCTGTTTCCAAAATATAATGTGCCATTTTTCTCCAATATGCTGAATTCCTATAATAATCAATACTATACTTTATTTATTGGAACCAGATTAAAGATTCTTCCCTTTAACGAGCAGGTTGAAACTATATGTTTCGTATAGAGCTGATCAATTATGACACTTTCTTTAAAAAGAATCAATTTTTTAAAGCTATTACTCAATTATGATGGAGACAATGTCATTTCAAAAGGTAGCAATGGGATTCTCTAGGCCATCTAGTCAAGAAAATGTAAATGTAATGCTAAAAACAATAAGTAAACTACAACTACAAGTTAAATTTTTTAAAAAGCCCTCTTTCATAGCAAGCATATCCATTAGCTTTCATTTCTTTTCCCTAGCAAAGGTCTGAATATTCATGAACCTCAGTTAAACCAACGGAACCAAGCAATTGTTTCACAAGTCCCACCCATATACTTGGAACAATATAAACATGAATGGACTAAGCAAGTAATACTATAACAAGTACTGAACTGGAGTGAAATAGTAAGAATAATGACAGTCTTCAAAATTGGGCAGTCTTTGAAATGTAATAGTGTAGCTCAAGATAAATTATGCTATAATAAAACTAGCTTTCACCTCTACGCAAAACAAAACAAAAAAACATAACTCATCAAATTTATACAACTACTATTGAACACACTCCCTTCCTAGTTTTTAAATGTCTTGTATTGAGGACTCTCTAAATAAGTATATTTATCTGAGCATGTTTATTGCCTGTGTATATACTCATTTTAAAAGACAAAAAATTCAGATAATACATAACTGAACTCTTTTTTTCACCAACCTGATCCAATTTATTCTGCATCACACTGCACCCCACCTCAATTTAAAATTCCCAATTTTAATTTGGTTAAAAGGGCAGAGGAAATGCAAATGCAGATTAAGAACTTCTTTATAAATTCCACTGTATTTTTATAAACTTGAAGTTTTTGTAACACTGTTTATTGATCAAATAAAGGGCTCACTGCTATCTAAAATTTCATAAACGCCATTAAAAATTCAAAATTGATATTCTGAACCTTAAATTTTCAATAGTTCAAAGATACAGTTTTTACATGTATAGCACACAATAGATGAAACTTAACAGCAGACATCCCTAGAATACCAATTGGCAAGTCCACCAAGATGTATACAAAATTACAGATAAGCATTTCTTTCACTGTTTTGTTGTGCAAGAAAAAACATTTATAGAAGAAACACAAACTCAGCTGGTGAATTTCAGATATCATCATCATCATCTTCATCTTGAGAAGATCCTGCCTGATTGGATGCACTGGCTGAGGCAGCAGCAAGCTGGGCTTGTTGGGCAGCCTGCTGCATTTGAAGCCATTCCTGTTGAGCCAATTCTGCTTGTTGCTGTCTTGCCTAAACATCAAACACATAAAAGTAAATAATCTTTTAACCCTCAATGTATATACTTTGTTTAAAGGTAAAGTAAGCCAATTAACTTAGTTACTATAAACTTGGATATTTTCCAACTACTGTGTATTTAAGGTACATCTGGAAAACAAGAACTCTGTGATCTTTAGGTTCAATGAAGAAGTTAAAAAAGTTTACAGAAATCAAAATTTTCTTTCTTTGGCTTCTTTCCCTTTATTTAATTTCTTATCCCCTCATCTGATTACAATTTTGATATAAACATGTTAATATAAAAATTATTTCTGTGCCTTAAAAGTTCTCTGTACAATATCTTTAAGTCTTAGGGAAAAAAAGTATTACACATGAATGCACTAGCTACCCTGATATTTCTTTCCAAATTTCTATCATAATTCCCTATTCTTATGCTTAAAGAAAAATACAAAACAAAAAACCATAGAACATAAAATGTTTCCCAAATTTACACCATACTTTATCTTTGTTACCTTTACTCTTGCTGATATTCATTTTATTTGAAATTTCCTAATTTTTACCTATGAAATTAGACCCTTTCTTCAAGTCACATTGAAATACTATTTTCTCCTTCTAGTATCAGTCGATGTATAATCAGGAAATAGAAGTCACACTATGGGAACAGAAAGAATTTAATATAAAGGTTTATTAATTAAGTATAAAGTTGGTAACCGGTAATTGACAAGATACCAAGGAGATGGCAAATATAGGGAACAGCTAACAACCCTAAAACTAGGGAAGAAGCTAGAAATTTTAAAACTCAGAAGTTTAGAGGGACAACCACATGGAACTGAAACTCAAACCTCTGAAGAAGAGGCATAAATTAGTTGGTACTAACATATCTGAGGTTAGAGAAGGACCCAAGGGTTGAGATCCACAACCTTGAGGAGGAAGGTGCAGTTATGGTATTAGAAAAAATGCAAACTAGATTCAGTTCTTGCTACAAGACAAACTCATGTAGCCAGGGTGAAGAAGTGTTCCTGGGTTACTCAAAGGAAATGGAAGCCAAGAGGAAGGAAAAACAACTTGCTACTTTTACTTTTTCTAGCCTTGTAATATCCCTCAAGAGACCCTCCAGTGGCAAGAGATAATGAGGAGTTAGGTTAGAAAGCAGATGTGGTTTGCAGAGTACAGAAATCCCCTCATCTATAGTTTCACTTTTCATTGTTTTAGTTACCTATAGTCAACCAATATAATAAACGGAAAACTCTAGAAATAAACCATTCATAAATTTTAAATTGTGTGCCATTATGCACATGGTGAAATCTCACATTGTCCAGCTTTACCCCACCTAGAATGTGAATCATCCCTCTGCATATCCATGCTGTATATGCTAACCCACCTATCACTCACTTAAAAGCTGTATTGGTTATCAGAAAAAGTGGCATACATTTTCAAAAGATGGTACCACAGATCATTATCACAACAGATGGAAGAGAGACCTGTATACAGTTAAAGTCAGAGGAAGTGACTAAGGAAAAGACTAAAGGTATAGTAGTTAAAGACAATTTTTATAGTAAGCTTCCTTTTGCTTCAGAAATTAGTTGTGGCTGTCACAAGTTTTTTTGTGTGTAGGATTTGGTAATATCTGTGTTTTCAGGCATCACCTAAGGATTCTCTGTAGATAAGGGGAGTGGGAAGTGGGGTTGGCATAATATGCTAGGTCTAATAATAAAACACAGCATAGAAAATGGGTTTATAGATTAAGATAACTACTTAGCTGGCACACTTTTATATCCCCAAAATCTGATATAATATCTCTGACATGAGATCTCTTTTTCATGAGTTAATTAGCCTTATATTATAGTTATCTTCCTTATCAAAACAGTATTATATTATAATTTTTAGTGTATCTATTTTCTCTCACCTACAAGATATCCTTAGTTTCAAATAAGAACAATATATTCTTCATCTTTGTACATCTGCAGCACCATATATATCTCATATCAGTGGGGACCCATTTGTCAATTGAATTTTTTTTAAGTTGTTCATGGTATTCTTTCATTATCTTTTTTTTTTTTTTGAGAGAGACAGAGAAAGAGAGAGAGAGAATAAATTTTAATATTCATTTTTTAGTTTTCAGCGGACACAACATCTTTGTTTGTATGTGGTACTGAGGATAGAACCCGGGCCGCACGCTACCACTTGAGCCACATCCCCAGCCCTGTCAATTGAATTTTAATTTAAGATTTGTTGACTCAAGAGCCAGAATCAGGTGATTTGGGTGAGGGTGGTGGTAAAGAAGTAGAAGAAAAGAAATATTATTATCTTGGAGAATACTATCCAAGCAACCACAGTATCAAAAGTTAATAAAAGAAGATGTCTAGGTAAATGGCTATTTTGTTATTAAAAACAAACAAACAAACCTTGCCAGGTGCACAGTGGTACACACCTGTAATTTCAGCTACCTGCAGGCCAAGACAGCAGAATCTCAAGTTCAAGGCTGGCCCAGGCAACTTAGTAAGACCCTATCTCAAAATTTTAAAAAATAGAGTTGGTGATGTGGCATAGTGGTAGAGTGCCCCTGGGTTCCATCTCTATTTAATACCACAAAAACAAAACAAAAACTAAAAAAAGTGAACACCTAATGGGGAAAAAAGTCACTCGATTTGGTGATATCTCTGTGATAGGGCATAAATCAAACTGCAAGAAAAAGTGGCATACGTTTTCAAAAGATGGTACCATAGATCATTATAGCAACAGATGGAAGAGAGACCTGTATATGTTTAAAGTCAGAAGAAGAAAAGACTAAGGAAAAGACTAAAGGTATTTAGTAGATAAAGACAATTTTTACAGTAAGCTTCCTTTTGTTTTAGAAATTAGAAACCAGCTATTCTAATAACTATTTCTACCTATTTATAAATAAATAGGCACACAGTTCTAATACATAGGCATATTTATTGTTAGCTTGGCTGTGGCACACACCTCTAATCTCAGCAACTATGGAGGCTAAGGCAGAAGGATCCCAGGTTCAAGGCAAGCCTTAGCAACTTAAGTGAGACTCTCAGAAACCTAATGAGACTGCCTCAAAATTAATTTAAAAAGAAGTTGAGATATAACTCAATGGTAAAATACCCCTGGGTTCAATCCCCCAAACAACACCCCCAACCCTGCCAACAGAAATATTTATTTTTATGGCAGGAATACTCAAAGAGTTCAAAAGAGACTGAATGCTTCACTAAAAACATTTAAATGGTCACAAGAAAACTGTGGGGGTGGGGAAGATGTTAATTTAATCAATTTGAGAATACCTACTCTGCATAATTTTGTGACAGAATAAAATTTCAAAGAATTTAACTCCATTAAAGCTTTATTGAAAAGATGCTTGATTTTATAATTTATTCAACGATATCTAAAAATATGTGTTATTTATATTTCAAACTTCACTGGCTGTTACGTACCATGATTCCATATAAGCTTTTATATTTTGCTCTCTGAACACAAAAGTATTTATGCCATTAAAAATTGTTGTTGACTAATATATTTGTATGCATTTCCAAAACTTCTTATTTTCAATGGTATTTACTATTTCTTTCTCTTTTGCCTTCTACCCAACCGTCCCAAGTACTTATCAGATTTTTTCCCTCATATTTTTTATTGGTGCATTACAGTTATACATACATGTGGGATTTGTTGTTACATATTTGTAACACACAACTTAACAATATAATTTAGCCAATATCATTCCCCAGTAGTTCCCTTTTCTGCCCTTCCTCCCCCAAGTATGTATCTTCTAAAATGAGGATGTGGGGAAAAAAAAAGGTATATACTTTCTAATTCACTGCTTCTTTTTGGAATTTTCATTATGTGTTAATGTTCTTTTTTGTTTGTTTTGGCTTTTTTTTTTTTTCCTTTTGAGTACAGGGGATTGAACTCAGGTGCACTTGACCACTAAGCCACATCCCTACCCCTATTTTGTATTTTGTTTGGAGATAGGATCTCACTGAGTTGCTTAGTGCCTCACTCTTGCTAAGGCAGGCTTTGAATTCGTGATCCTCCTGCTTCAGCCTCCCGAGCTGTTGGGACTACAGGCATGCGTCACTGTGGCTGGCGTATGTTAACATTGTTACTTCCGAATGATAAAATTATTAATTTATACTTAACTTCAACCTTGATATATTAAAGTTCTCCCCTTCCAAATATCTGCAGTTAGCTTAAAATGAGGTTGTCACTGTGTTACTATTTGAATAAAGTCTAGAAGTAAAATTAATTTAAAAAGATACATTTACTTAGTTCCTTTCATACTAAGAACTTAAGTACTTTTCTCCAGGGAAGTACTAGGTAGCTGCCATAATTTTACCTCTGCTGATCTTCTTCATAAAAGTAAATACTAGGAATCTTCACCAACAAGCCAGAGTAAGAATTAAGGGAGATAAGAAAGAGCAATTAGGAGCTGAGGTTGTGGCTCAGTGGTAGCGCGCTTGCCTAGCGTGTATGACGCATTAGGTTCAATTCTCAGTACCATATACAAATAAATAAAATAAAGGTCCATCAAAAACTAAAAAATATTAAAAAGAAAGAGAGGAATTTAAAAAAGCAGATTATCAGGGGCTCAGTGGCAGAGTGCTTGCCTAGCATGTGTGAGGCACTGGGTTCGATTCTTAGCACCACATATAAATAAAATAAATGGTCCATTAACAACTAAAAAAACCTTTTTT